ATGACTGACCCCTGATAAAAACCACAACACCCAAGTTAGAGGAAGCGTCCGTGGTTGGCGACACTGGGCTCGTGTCGTTATACATTGTTGCTCGGGTGAGTAGGTGCATTCCATACAGCTCCACTCAAAAGGAACACTTGGAAGCTTGTGCCTGGTTTCCTCATACTTCATCCCATGAGTCTTCTTCCTTTGTTGATTTTATTCTGTATCCTTTCACTGTAATACACCATAAGCACAACAATTTCTGAGTCCTGTGAATCCTAGCAAACCCTTGAAGCTGAGGGTAGTAGTCGGGACCTCCAACACACCTTCCCTTGAGGGCAGGGATTTCTCTCATTTTCAGGAATTGTCTGGACTTTACTAACCTCTATTTACTTTCCCAGTATTTGGCAGGTTGAAAGCATGCAGTCAATCCCCACAGACCAATTAATCACAAATCTGACCTAGTCAATCATAATTTGGTGGCCACAGACACCAGCATTTCAAACAGAGTGCTGTACACCTAGGGATATGTCTAACCCCTACATTTCATTACTCCATAAGTTACCCAGCCCCAGCAATGGACATGAGCATGCCAAGTCTTGGCTACTGCTTGAAAATGGCTGAGAAAGTGCCAAGCGATTCTCATCATTTTATACACCACCAAAAGCAAGCTGCCAACAGGTGTGAGCGTGTCAGCCCCCAGCAGTCTTCTGCTATGAATCCTCCTCCTTACTTCCCTCTCAAAACTACTACAACTCTGCACAGATGTTAAGATGCACATGGCAACAGAGAGGAGGCCCAGTCCTCACCTTACAGCAGTCCTTCACCTAGGGCATGGCTCCACTGAGGGACGTCACAGACAGTTTAGTAGCAAAATTAGTGAATGATTTCAATACAAAAGATACACATTGGAGTGGATTCTCTATAAAATTCACTATCACTCAACTGTACTCTGATAAGCTTTCTTGAGTGGGAGAGAAAAAATTGCAAGTACATCTTGTGCTAGATATTACACATAACCAGTAAGTTTGCTTATACGTGCCAGAAGGAGCCCTGGTGGTGCAGTAGTTAAGCACTCAGCTGCTAAACCTAAAGGTTGGCAGTTTTGAATCCACCAGCCGCTCTGCAGGAGAAAGCCGTGGCAGTCTGCTTCTGTCAAGATTACAGCCTTGGAAACCCTGTGGGGCAGTTCTAGTTCCACTCTGTCCTACAGGGTCGCTATGAGTTGGAATCAACTTCACGGCACACAACAACAATAACATGTGTCAAGTACAAAACCACTGCTTACACGGCTGATTTTATTAGTCGTGTGCCTATAAACTGCCTCAATGTTCCCTGGCTCCTGCACCCTCATCGTAAATCCATGACCCGCTACTTTGTTTTCTAAGAAAACACTCTGAGGTTTCATGATCCTAGGGAAGTGGATCACACATGTGAAGTACTCTGTAAATAAAGACAATCCAGGCAGTCCCCAGGTGATGAACCTCTGACTTACCAACAACTCCTACTTCCCCTTTAATGTTATGTAAACTTGCCCGCCCTTCGAAACAACTGAACCAACCCCTACACGCAACAAATTCTTCATCACAACCACCTTTACCTGCTGCACATGTAGCTTTTAAATCACTGAAAAGGCTTTGAGCCTTTTCTTGCACTATCCAAAAAAAACCGTTGACCTTGAGTTGATTTCAACTCACAGCGACCTTATAGGACAGAACAGAACTGCCCCATAGGGTTTCCAAGGAGAAGCTGGTGGATTCGAACTGCCAACCTTTTGGTTAGCAGCCGAGCTCTTAACCACTGAGCCACCAGGGCTCCACTCTTGTACTCCAGTAAGGCTAAGTAAGAACCATATGCACCTGTTCTGACAACTACAATTTCGACTTAAAGACACACTTAGGAATGGATCTTGTTCGTAACCCAGGGACCGCCTGTAGTCTTAAAATGGCTCGGAATTAAGGCACTGGGTAATATGAAGATAGGTGTATTCCCCATTTGACCATTTCTTCAAGTACAACTGCATAGCTCACATTTGTACATGTGATGCAGAGAATTTCTTAATATGGCCCTGGTAGCCATGCATGGTCTTGTAATTGTCCCCCAGTGACTGGGCAGGACTATGCAAATAAGGTGCCTGTGGCCCACCAAGAGGAATGGACAGCTTGCTAATCATGCAAATAAGGTACATGGTACCCTGTGGAAGGTGGGACCATGCAAATAAGGTGTGTGGAACCCTAATGAGGGGATTGGTCAGTTCTGCCATCCCACTAGGCTTAAAAGAGAGCCAATCCCAGAGCAGGGGGGGACCTCATTATAATCAAGAAGAAAAACCAGGAGTGGAGTGTGTCCTTTGGATCCAGGGTCCCAGCACTGAGAACCTCCTAGACCCAGGAGCCAGAGAGAGAGCTGTAACACCAGAAATAGCATGAGATGGCAAGAAGCAGCAATAGGGAAACAGCAGCAGCAGAACCAAGAGGCTGGCAAGAGATGGTGCAGTGGGCTTCCCAGCCATGGGGCAGGGTGGCTACAGTGGGGGTGCTGACCCACAGAGTGAGAGAGCTGAGAGCCTTTGGCAGAAGGAGGTGCCTCTGGGCACTTGCCAGCAGAGCTAAAGAGCTTTGTAATACTTGTCAAGCAGGGCAGAGGCCAGGCACAGGGCCAAGAGAGAAGGCCTGTCCTGAGGGGACCAAGAGAAGCCTGTCCTCGAGGGGCCAAGAGGAGCCTGTCCTGAGGGGGCCAAGAGGAGACTGTCCTCAATGGGCCAAGACGAGCCTGTCCTGAGGGGGCCAAGAGGAGTCTGTCCTCAAGGGGCCAAGAGGAGCCTGTCCTGAGGGGCCAAGAGGAGCCTATCCTGAGGGGGCCAAGAGGAGCCTGTCCTGAGGGGGCCAAGAGGAGCCTGTCCT